TGATACCCAACCCCCCATACCTTTTTAATGGTCTTTTGATTTCATCGTGTTTTAGCAAATGAAATATATTTGTCTCTTCATCATCACCCCAGAGAAAATTACATTGTATAGTTTCCAGCTTTTTCGCAACATTCACATGAATCGTTGTAGTTGACAAATAATAAATTGGAAAATTAACCATGGTGCTTTTTATCAACGTGAGTCTCCCCCTTTTTGACAGTAACTTTCTCTTCCAACCAACCAACCTATTCTCACTTATTTCCAAAATAGAATCCCATTAGGCGTTACGCTTATACCTAGCCGCCAAAGGCAAACCAAGCTATTTGATCGGTAAAGTGACTTCCCTACATTCCAATACTGCTGCATAGAGACTCCCATCATTAATGCCACCCAACTTAACCAATTCAGATTTTTGGAGATTGATCTTCAACCCCAATACCCCTTGAAAGCATACAAGGATACACCTCAAATGGAGAAGGTTTCTCACATCATGAGGACAAAAGATTAAGGTGACAATTAGTAAATAAAATATGAGAAACATCTAGTGTACTACTTCTATAACCCACACTAACACTCTTAAAAAGTTACAGATCTATGGCCTTGGTCATCAACCCATCCAATGCTTCCATAACTAAAATAAATAACAAAAGAGAGAGTGGGTCGCTTATCCTTAAACCCCTAGAAGCCGGTTAAGAATTCTGAAAGACCATTATTAATGAAAACAACAAAAGAAGTGGTAGTCAAGCATTTATGCATCCAAAGTTTCTATTTTGTCCCAAAACTAAATCTCTCAAGCATATAATCAACAAAACTCCAACTAACGTGGTCATATACCTTTTATATAGCAAGTTTACAAATGATCCCTTCCTTTATATTAATGACCATATCATCTATTATCTCATTAGCCACCATAACAGCATCAAGAATTTGCCTACCATCCATAAAAGTGTTTTGACTGTCACTAATAACATCCCCAAGAACTCTAGAAAGTCTTTTAGTCAAAACTTTAGCAATAAATTTATATACATAGCCCACCAAACTAATCGGCTTGAAGTCACCAAATTCCTTAGCCTCCTTGTTTTTAGGAATAAAAACAAGAAAGATAGAATTGAGAGCTTTCACAAATTTTCCATATTTATGCATCTCCTTAAATATTTCCATTACATCATCCTTGATAACATACCAGAATTTCTACAGAAATTTCATACTAAAACCAGCTCTCTATTACATAGATTGAAACACCCTTTAATCTCATCCTTAGCGAATTCCATTTCCAGCATTAATTTATTATCCTCAGAAAGTTATCTGAAATTAATACCATCCAAAGTGGGCCTTATCATATGTTCTTTATGGTACAGTTTGGCAAAATAATCTTTGGCTGCTTTTATGACTCTTGATTTTCCATAAGTTTGCTACCATCAACCAAGATTTCAAGAATGTAGTTATTTTTTCTCTTATTACTGGCTATAATGTGAAAATACTTCATGTTCCGATCGCCATCCTTAACCTATCTTTCTCAAGACTTTTACTTCCATGATATCTCATCAGTCTTACACAAATTAGCTAAATCCATCTTCAAAGTATTTCTCATGCCCATCATGGTCTCATCTAGTAAACCATTCTCCTCCAGCTGATCTAAATCACTGATTTCCTGTATGATAATAGTGAAGGAATCCCCAATCCTCATTTTTCATCTTTAGTCCACACATTTATTAAATTTTTAACATCTTTCAATTTTCCAGCAACTCTAAAACTAGCTTTGCTTTGTGTTATAGTATTTTTTCAAGCCTCTTCCACCAAAACAGCAAATCTTGCATACGAAACCATTTATTATCAAGTCAGAAATGGATTGGCCCCCAATGAATTCCGTATCTCTGAAGGCAAATAGGGAAATGATCTGATGTTGGCCTCTGTAGAGTTTTTTGAATTACATCAGCAATTTGAGATACCCCCCAATGAATTCCGTATCTCTGAAGGCAAATAGGGAAATGATCTGATGTTGGCCTCTGTAGAGTTTTTTGAATTACATCAGCAATTTGAGATACCAACGCAGGAAAAACAAAAAATCTATCAATTCTAGAGCAGACACATTGTTGTCTCATATTTATCCAAGTCCATTGTCCTTTTGAGAGAGGAAGATCAACTAATTTCAGCCTATCCACCAACTCCCTAAACTGATTAGCATCTATCATCCTCGTATTGTTGTTGTTTCTATCAACGCAATTCAATGTCATATTGAAACCCTCTCCCCCCCCCCCCCCAAAAATCCAGAGGTCACCCCATTTCCTCTTGTTATCTTCAAGTTCCCTCCCAAATATCTCTCTCTCTTCATTATTACCCCGACAATACACACCCGTAAAAGCCCATTCACAATTCAACTTACAGTTCTTGAAAAAACAGGATAATGTAGTCTCCCCTTTGCACATCTCAAGAAATTTAACACTCCCTTCATTCTACATTAGGATAATACCACCAGCAGTACCACTCACTGGAATACAATGCCATCCTACCTCTTTCTCTCTCTGCATGCTGCGAATAATCTATTTCGAATATTGATACAGTTTAGACTCCTACAAACAAATAATATCTGACTTCCATTTTGCCAAACAACCTTTAATAATGAGTCTCTTACCTCCGTTATTGATACCCCTAATATTCTAGGATATAATTTCACCTATCATTAAAATCAGAATTTTTTGTACCACTCTAGCTCTTATCCCCCATCCTATTCCCTTCATAGTTGACAGTAGATCCAAGTCTTTTCAACTATCTCGATATACTTTCAACAACTTTTTTCTTCCCCTTGGACAACACGATGCCCTTATTCTTTTTTTCCTTTCTTCTCTTTTATATTTCAGAAAAAAATAAAAAAAAAAAGGGCTTGAGCTTTCATACTTTTCATAGAAATCCCCATTGATTTGCTGAACTTCTGAATATTATGAGAAATCCATTGCGAACACCATGTCGGGAGACCATTGATCTTCAGTCTCTTCCTCATTTTCAGACTCTATAACATGAGGCAAAACATCAACAAACTTCATATCTTCTTCTTCCCTTGATTCTGCACTACTGTGTTCCGCAGTTTGTGTTATGTCATCCTCCAAACCAACCATCAATCTGCACTCTAGGGTTTCAAAGATAGAGCCACATTATGTTTTGCATATGTCTCAGTCGTGACGGACTCCACTATTTTAGAATCTGAAGATTCATCCCGGGTTGGGTAAATAGCTTCTTTTTACTTTTGGATTTCGTCATCTCTATTAATTTCTATCAGGTTAGATCTAGCAGGCCACTTCCCCTTTTCTACCCTAAAAAATCTCTTCTTTTCATTGAGCCCACCTTTATTGTTCAAGTCTTGACCCAAAAATCTGTTCTCTTCCCTTTTCTTTATTGGTTCAGCATGCTGAGAAAATGAAGTATATTGGGCCGATGGCCTTTTAGGTCGTCTCCTGCCAAAACGGGTCCCATACTTAACGCCACTTTTTTGCCCTACTTGATTTCCTTTAGCATCCATTTTTTGCACAGCCATCGTGTAAGTTTGCACCGCCCCAAATGCCCCAGTGAATCGGATAGGCTCAGCACAATGGGGACACTTTACAATGGCGTTCTAAGGAGTGGTGCAACAGACATCCTCCGCCTCTACCCTCCCACTTATATGAGAAACAGAAGCATGCACCTGCCTGTTCGCGAGTTCAAAAGCCGCCACTATCTACTTCCACCAACCTTTTCGTTGGTCTTCCCCAGGAAAAAATATTTTTTTCGCCTTTTCTTTCTATTAACTTGACAAAACAACGTACTCTCCCCTTCTGTTACTTCCAAAGGAGATCTGTAGATCGTAATTGTTGCGGACCAAATGCCTAGCCCATTGACCCTCTTTTCTATTCCAACAAAAATCTTCTAAAGATTCCAGTAACCACTCGAACCCCTCCTTGTTCAGAAAAATCGATCTCTTGAAACCTGCACCATTTTTGCTGATTCGTAGTCCATATAAATTTTTTTCCACACAAACTAAGTCATACGACTTATTCTCGATAACCTGGAATCTTTGGCTATCGGACATAACTCGATCTTCAACCTAGGTCAGCCATAATGGCCGGCCGTATGTTGAACAATGGCCTTCGACTATTTAGGGAATCGAGAGAATTTTAGAGACAGAAAAAATTCCAGCTAACATATATTCTAAATAGAAAAATCTATTCAGTGGAATATTTTATGTCCATAGCATTCCATCTAGGAGATCTTTATATGAAGTTTTCCTGTATCTTTCTTTGGTTAAAACCTTTACTATAAGTGAGTCTCTTGAGTTCCTGGTTTTGGCTTTTGCTTGTGCTTGCAAAAAATAAAAATTTAGCTAAATGCTAAAAAAAGTTTTTTTTAACTAAAAGAAAAATTATTCTTATTTTCAGTAAAGATGAAGTCAAAAGCTAAAACTAAATGCTTTTGATGCTTTGAGAAATAGTTTGTACTAAATAATATTTTATTTAAACATTCTTATAACTTTACTTGTTTTTATTGATTAATAAATTTAATAATTTTTTTTAAAAATATAATATTAATCATTACTAATAATTTTTACTATTAAAAATTATATAAATACCGAACTTAGTCATTAAAATTATGATTAAATTAATTTTTTTTTAAAAAATTTAATAAGATTCTGTAAGATAGTAAATGTAAAAACAAATATAAACTAACTAGTGCTCACATATTACTTAGCCTTCAAAGAAAGGAAAAAAAGTAAAGAACATAGTTGTGGCATATTGACAATTAGGGTTTACCATTTTAGTTGAGGAGTTCAAGCTTTATCCTGTCTTCTCAGTTGAAATAAACCTGTCTTCTCAGTAGAAATAAAAAAAGGTATTTCGGACATTTTAGTTGAAGTCGACTTTTCTGCCAGGGAGAGTGGAGACTGCAAAGGAGACCAGCAAAATGGCTTCTCTTATTTCCTCCCTCTCCCAAAGTTTCA